AATCGCTTTCGATAGACGAGGCATGTGGCACCCACAGAGCGAGACGGACGAAGAGAGATAGAGGGGGTGAGAGAGAAATAGAGAGAGCGAGAGAGTGTTTGGCATGTAAATGTAGCAAAGTAAACTTTTGCTAGTTTGCTAGTTTCTGTGCCTTTCAAAAGTCGAATTACATTAAATTTATACAACTGAAAAACGGTGCACAAGTAAATGTTTTGCTTAGACTATAAAGCAATATATTAAAGCGCATTTAAAAAAAAAGAGATATGCAGGTATTCAAAGTTTACTAGCTACTAAAAATTTAAGCAGCTCCAGCAATAATATTAATTCGAAAGAAATTGAGGTAACTGGATCTATGTGGAATACATTTACGTTTATTTTAATTTTTTTAGAAATTTTCTTGAATATCAAATATTTTTTAGATATTGTTGAACTATAATTGTTATATTTAAGCACAATATATAAATATATATTATATTATATAAATAAAGTACATAGAAAGAGTAAAGGCTGGAACTAAGTTAATCAAAGTAAAATATATACAATTTTGTCACAATTAGAAAATAAAAAAATAAAAAAAAAATTGATAAGTAGAAATAAATATATAAATAAAAAGTTCACGTTATATATGGTTACAGATAGTAACATTTAAAATATTTTATAAATAAATAAATAAAATATTCACGTTATATATTGTTACAGATAGTGAAATTTAAAATATTTTATAACTTTATATAAAACTAAAAAATCTGTATATTATCTTCTAGATTATTATTTATTTATATTTTAGTTTATTTATTTTTTGAATATTAGTTGGGATAAACTGGTATAAATTTAGAAGTTGAAGCTGAATGTAAAGCCTTTAATGTCTCTTTCCTATATATGTATTTCATATATATATATATTTTTTTTATTTTTTTTTTTTAAGCAGTTTGTCTTTTTAAATTAAAAATTCAGCACTTTATCAAAAATTTCTCTCAAGTCCACATAGAAACGTAAAACAAAATCAAGTTAGCGGCAAAGTTTTTTACTCCATCTTTTACTCAACGAGTAGAAAAAATACCAAAAGTCTTTTATTTATATGGATTCAAATAATATTTTAACGTTATCACACAAAATCTTTATTTGCAGTGCACTTTTTACACTTGTTGTGAGTTTTCCTTTCTCTGCTTCACATTCATATTCTCAGCTTATACGCCCGTCAAGATGTATTTGCAGCCCAGGCGATTGCCGCCACAAACATCAAACATTTTTTTTTGACTGCACGAAATGCAAAGTTGAAAAAAAGAGCCAATAAAAGCAGCATAAAAGAGAGCAGTAAGAAAATCAACTGGATAATA